TAATGGGTTCTTAGAATTCATTTACATAGTCTGAGCATGCGTAGTAAAAAAAGGGGTCCACACAGACTTTCTCACACTGTTAGTGAACTTAAGGTTTCTAGTGTCCACACATGATCATAGAGTTACTTTATCCATCCTTCAGGTCCTGTTTGTTCCAAGGAGGTTAGTTTAGACCAGCTTCAGTCACTTATCTTGACACTGGCATCTTCCTTAGACACTTGGGTTTTTTACATTCCTGCTATTAGGGATGTCCAAGGTCTGTCTTTACTAGGCAAGGAGTTAAAGGTTTCAAAACATCTTACAAGTGGGTAATGACTACAGAGAGTAGTTAGGAAAAAGTATAAATGAAATGATATACATTACAGTAAAATGCAGGAAAAATAAAAACTAGCAAAACACAAGTGATGGCTAAGGTTAAAACTAAATTACCTACTTTACAGGTCCCTGTACACTAGCAACTTCAAGCATACTTGTAGCAACTTCCCTTCAAGGCAGTTGACCGGCAGACATTTCTCATTCCTCCTATAGACCTTACAAGGTCGTAGTTGTCTCAGCAGCATTTCTCCTACAGACCATAGATGCACAGGGTGGAGCTGGCTACACTGGCTGCAGAGGAGATAGAGAAAGGGCTGGTGTTCACTCCAGGCTTGCTGGAGAACAGTCCTTCCAACTGCACTGCCCCGACGTTCCTACGCATCTGAGGAGTGCCACATTTAAAGAAATCATCCATATTCTGGTACAGCTTGCTTTCCACCTCATTCTCTGTGGGTCTAAGTTGGTAGGTGAGAAAGAGATGGAAGAACAATTTGTTGTCATTTAGTTCCACTTCTTGTTGTCTAACATAGTCCCTTGGATTGCTTTAGCATACTCAAAAAGATTAAAGATGGGTATTTAATTAAGGACAGGAAATTAAAATTAAGAAAGTGTTTGTTTAACATCTCAAGTCAAGAACTTTAAATACGATTAAACTGCATTTTTATATTGAGAGGGAAAAGTACTCAAAGGACTTGCAGATCGTGAGACTGCAGTCCTTCAATAACAGATTGACTTTGAGCAGCTTGTTCTACAGTTTCCTTTTTATTCAGACATCTGTTTAGTGAAATTTATCTCGTGACAGGAAGGATGACACACAAGACTCTGTCTTCTCCTTTCTTTCTACTGCCTATAGACTTCCTGTGTAGCCATGAGAACTGTAGCGCTCTGCATATCGATTCTCACCTGTAAAACGTGGAACACAATAATTTCTCTATTTGGCCTCATGCAGACCTTTTCTATTTAGACTACAAGCTCTTCCTGGCAGAGATACCTGTTGCTACAAGTATTTATCATACAGAATCTTGCCTAGGACCTCAGTGTGAAAGAAACACATATTCTGATTTTATAGCTATGCCTGGTTTCCAAACCACCAGCAGCATTTTTTCCCTACCTCATCAGCCACTCTCATTGTACACAGCTATTTTAAACAGAAATAGGTCAAGCAGTGCCCATATATGCCTTGCACGCCGATTATTTTTCCCCGTCTCACTCTAATTTTGAATATTTATGTAATAAGGATTACTTTCAGTTCATAATAAGCCTAATCTATCATGAGACCTAATTGGGTTATGTTGCTAAAGTTTTTAATATTAATCCTAATTTAATAATGTCTGGGGTGGAAGAAGAGAGTACTGACAGCAAAATTCAGGTGATTATTTAGGTGATCAAGGACTTCAACAGACAGTGGAGAAATGCAGATGCCTACACAAGACGTGTGAATCGACATTAGAATGGCAGTGAAATTTTATGTCCAAAAAAAAGGAAGTTAATGCACGATTGTCCATGGAAAAATTTTTATATGGTTCTAAATGATAAATGTATCAATGCAAGAAAAGGGCTTCACTGACAGGACAGTTTAGTGATAATGTACTGCCAATGTAGATGTGCTCTCTGAACAGCAAGCAGGCTTGCAGGACACATAAAGAATATGGTGAAGGACAGTGCTGACAATACGACCATGCTGATAAAGATCAGTGGCGTGTTGGTTTCTTTTTTAGCACATACTCATCACACCATGAGATGGTCTGATCTCTCTGTAGACCCATCACCCCATGCAGGTCTCTTACTGCACTTCTCATACATCCTTCCCTTGCTTTGGCCCACTGGGGAGGACAGTACTTCTTGCTACAGTACCTTCAGCACTACAGCAGGCAACGCTGGGAGGAAAAGCTGTTCAACTGATACAGATTAGGAAAAGAAACCTTTTTGAGCCTTCCAAATGTTATTCGTGCCTTTGATAGAAGGTGCTCAGCTCCACCAGCTGCAGCTATGAGACAGTTGCACAGGATGCTCAACAGGAAACTGAGCTGAGCTCTGTCAAGCCCATGTCAGGATGACTCACCACTTCAAAAGTGACAGGTGATCGCTGCGTGTGCTTCTTTCTTCTCCTCTTTGGTCGAGAATGGACCTATGCATAGGTCTCTGGCTGATGATACAGCTGCATGGTCCCATTTCGGTTCTAAATGCTTCCTGGTGCAGATGCATTTTGGGGAGAAACTGCTGATGCCTCCTACCCATGCAAGGGACACGATGACACCAAGCTCAGCTGGCAAAATCTGCGTTTGGACTTTTTCGGAACATTCTTTGATTCGCGGCTGCAAAGGCTTCAAATGGTGAGTGACTTTTCAAGTCATGACTTTTCAAACATGATGTTTGCTCTGTGGTGAAACACATATTATCTATAAAGTTCAGCAATTTCCTCGAGGATACCATTTACTGGAAGTACAACTACTAATAGTTATTGGTGGCCAGGCCATCAGGTTCTGTAGATAAAGCCAAATAAGCTGCTTTATATCATCTGAGGTTTCCATCCTCATCTCCCTGTCACACTAATTTTTATATTTGCAACTGTTTTATTCAGCTTACTAGTGTTAATTGTTTTTATGTCATTATAATGCTGTTGGTGCTTTGTCATCCCCACTTAGTTCTATCCTCCCATAGGTCATTTTCAGTGTTAAGGCTGTCAGTTCTTGAAGATGGGGTCTGTATCTCCTAGTACACAGTAACAATGCACAAGTGCTATAAACAAGTAAATAACAATCCTAGTGAATACTAGCCTCAGAAAAAATACAAACACAGCTGATAACATAGCTGGATTCCTTTCCCGTATGCCTTCTATTACAAAACATTCCAAAATAATGTTTTGCCAGTCTTCTGCAGCAGAATGACTGAGATTTTTTTGGTGTAAAAGACCCAGTGTTTGACACACGCAGCATTCTCAGCCAGGCACTTCATAAAATGATTAGTGCTCCTCAAATACTAACAACTTCTGTAGTAAATACAATCTGCTGATACTTCTGTTAAATACCTTCTAAAGGAGATTAACTTATTTAATGTTCAAAACTGCTAAGCACACATGATGTCCCATAAGTGGCTCAACATTGTTTCTGTTACGTTCATCCTTCATCTTTTTCTTTCATTTTATTGTGTAAAACGTGGATATTTCCTGTATTATTTTTAGTCATCTGACTAGTTTCATGTTCTGTATCAGAACTGTTTGTTGCAAACAAGCAAAACTCTTTTTCGGTCTTCATTTTATAAAATAGGGGAACATTCCATGAAACCAAGTAAGCGTATAAGAAAACAAATAATAAAGATAAGCAAATGCATTTCTCTTTCCAGTCTAATGATTTCACTTTGGGAACTGCAGGAATCTCTCAATATCATCCTGAAAAAGTAATAGGCACTAGAATAGTAAAAATTTTATAACTATTAAGAAAGAAACGTATTTTTGTTCAGCTGAACACAGGACCAATGAAAAATAAACTTCAGGAATAATAAGCAAAAAGCAAACCTTTCAGTATTTCCTCCTTATTTACTGGCAGGATTCCTATGGTACAGAGGCACTCTAAGATCAGGAGGCTTTGGGAGGGGTACAGTCAAAAGATTACAAATAAGCTGTGTTTTTTGCTGCATGAGAGGTACTTATCAATGGATCCATGGAGGGTTACTAGCTTTAAAAGACGTAAAAAGAAACACAACATTCATTCAGCTCCTTTTCCAAATAAATGGATTGGCCCAGCTCAGTGGGACATCAAGAAACTAGCACTTGTCTATGTCGACTTCACAAGAGTTTCCAAAGCACTCCGAAATACCCAAAGTCAACGTCTTCTTTGGGGTACAAATGCCTCAAGGTCTGGCTAAAGATTTTGAACTCACTGATAGTTCTTCCACTGACTGAGGAGGGAGATAGAGATGAACTGACAAAGTCAACCAAGAGCGGGGTAAATTAGCCCACCTGAGCCTGTGCCAGCACAAAAAGATTGCTCCTAGCGTGGGAGCTGCTCAGAGGCAGCCAAACCCGGGCATCTCTGCAGTACGCTGCTGTGATGTTTCAGATGTGCAGATCCTTCCTCGGTCCAGATGTTTCGTACATGTATCCCCTGCCTCTAAATTTCAGACGTGCAGCGATTTCTCCTTGCAGGATGTGAACGCGATTCTTCAGAACAGTTTGCGGTAGCACGTTAGTGAGCGGTAAAAGGTAATCAAAGGTTACTGGTGGCAGCAGAGAGGAGCTGGCATCACAGGATCCAACTTTCTGAGTCAGTCCCATGAGACTCCTAGTATTGCAGGGGCCAAATTTTTTCCAGATAAAACAATTTATTTTGAAAAATGCCATGCTTTTTACTTAGAATTTTGCATTTTCTCCTTACATCATGGCAATACTTTAATTTTCCAGTGATTTGAGTTTGAAGGGTATTTTTGTCTTTTGCCTTAAGAAATTTCTATCTTCTTTTTCGGTCTTCATTTTATAAAATATGGGAACATTCCATGAAAACAAACAAGCTTATAAAAAATTAAATATATGGCCCCTTGCAGTGCCTTACGGGAGACAATTTTTTCCTGCAAAAATAAACATTTCCCTTTTCTCACCACCCCTCCTCAGCACCCCAAAGGCCTGCAGTGATGTCTGTGGGAGTTACCTTTGCAGAGGAATCTGAAGATTCCTCTTCGCAGAGGCCCATATGCCTCAAGGCATGAGAAAGGAGAGAAAGCAGCTGAGCATGGGTCGGACAAGTGTCCCTGTTGCACTCCGTCTGTACATTGCGTTCTGCTCAGGTATGGGGATGAGTTCTCCTCCTCCAAGATCAGCCTGAGCACTCGATGCAAATGCTCGACTCGTTCTGCTGGTAGTTCAGCACCAGCCCTCCCTCCCTGAAGTGTTAAACTGAGGTGGTGGGAGCCTGCCAAATCACACATCCTCACTAACAGCAGCAGGCTCTTCGGTCTGGAGCTGCCTTAGACTGATCAGGGAAAGCACAGGTTGAGTGTCTCGGTTATAAGCATCTGGGGTTAGTAACTACAGTAGTTTTGGAGCATCAGCTGATTCACAACTGAGTATGTTACAGGTTCTTCGGGGTTTTTTTAGTCAGTCTGGAGAATGGTCTGTATCTTCTGTATTAGTGGGTAAGAGTGAAGAGCTCTGTGACTGCTCTGCGGTTATAAGCCACAGTAAGTTATTTTTGACCTCAGTGACAGGCAGGACTGAATGACAAGAGAGCGAGCTACTTCTCCACAGTGAATAAATGCTGAATAACCTGTTCTTAGAATAACAGCTGTGCATACATTCGTATTCCACTGTCTCCTTGTACACAAAATCTGCTGCGTGTGAAGCTGGTGATGAACCTCCCTTCTGTCCTAATTCCCCACCCCACTCATTCTCTGCCCCTCTAGATCCCGGTCTCACAAAACGTCTTGAAGTGTCTACAGCTTGTGCTCTCCAGACCCTTCACCTCTTCCCTGCCCCGTTCTCCCTCTCCTAGGAATCTTCAGTTCCCTCACCTCCCTGAAGCCACCATGCTTTAAGCCACGCTCATACTTTTTTTTTTTTTTTGATTCTTCTTCATCCTTTTGCCTTCCTGTTTCTTCCCAAGTGTCATCCTGGGCATGCAGGCCTGTCCAGCTCACACACACACACCACACACCCCCAGTCCCCTGCTTAAATGAGCATTTGCTGGAGACACAGGATAAAATCGACTGCAAGTCGATTTATATTTATTTAAGGACGTTTATATGGCTCTTTATTACCTGTAAACACCTGGAGATAATTTTCAGCAACTGACTACTGCTCAAAATCCATGACAATCAAAGCAATTGGAGACTGCAACGAAAGCATAAAGTGTAACCCACGGTTTTCTATTTAAGGTTGTCTCCTCAGGTACAGACGGATGCCTGCTTTGAATAAACCACCACCAAATTCCTCACGAGTCTCACGCAGAGCCCACCCGGACTTGACGCCCTGTCCCTCTGGATATCTGAACGTGCGACACCGCCAAGACCTGTCGTAAGTAAACCAGTTATTGCACATAATAGGAACACCGGTATGTGCCGACCCTCCCCGAGATGTACAGCCCCGTCTCACAAGCAACGCTACGACTTCCACGACATCTTCATCCCCAGAGCCGGCAAGTCAGAACCATCGGGCTTTTTGTTCGCCTGGGTGAGGCAAATCCCCGGGCAGGTTTTTCCACAGAAATCAAGTTTTAAGTGGCCAACACGTAGCTACAAAGGCAGCAAGAGCCTTCTGCCTCGCTGTTGGGTCCCTCCGGAGTCCCCAGACCTGCTGACGGCAGAGAATCACACACAGACAGTTCTGCTGGGCTCCTAGTTCTTCTTAAACTATTTCCCGTTTTGTTTTTTGTTTTTTTTTTTTTATTTCTGGCACCGAGCCCACGCACCGTCACGATGCG